ACACACAAAAAAATTATAAATTTTTGTTCTTTTCATGTAACTTATGACGTTTTAGCATTTGTTTGGTTCCCTCCTAGAATCTCATTTTGGAATTAGTCAATGATGGCTTTAGGAGTGATTTTCTAATCATTGAGCAGGCATTTATGTCTGCTTATCCTTTATTTCCTGTTTATGGTAGGATGAAGGGTAGAACTCTGAACATTTTCTGTCCAGAGAAAGACTGAATACCTCTAAGACTTTGTTTTTACCATTGATGGCCTTTGTATATCTAGAAAAATGTTAGCAGGTACATTCCTTGAAGTAAAGGCTATAGTTCTTATGATTCCCTTAGCACAGAGAGTAAAAAGGCTAGATGATCTCCTGTCTCTCTAAAGAAATGGGTAGCTATGTAATGTCAGGTGCATATATTACTGAACTGTTATAAAGTAGAGGAAATTACCCAGTCAGAATAGATATGTCTTTGCAGCATTGCATCCACATTCTAATAGCCACAGAGTTTATCTTAGTCGAAATAGAGCTCTAAGTTATTAATTGTTTTAATGATTCCATTGATTTCTGTTAATCTAGGTAATGTGCCTTACTAAACCTGGTAGTTTATTTTGCTTTTCAATTAACCTTTTACTTTTCTTATATCATTTTTTTTATTAAAAACAAAGGTTTTATCCACATTTTAATGATATGCCCATTTTAGTGTATTATGAATTATATTTGGCTATCTGAACAGCAATTTTCCTGCACACTTCAAGGTAATGGAAAACCATAATGACTGTATTTTTATTACAAGTGATCATTACTATGAAATACTTTAAAAAGTTCATTTGAATACATATATATAATTTTACAAATATATACATGAAAGAAATATAATGCTTTAATTTCTGCTTCAATTCTCCAACTTCAGCAATTGCTATTATTTTAATTTAAAGTTATTTTAATTTTCTCCAGTTAATAGCTGGAAAATGTTGTAAACATTTTGTAAATTTGTTGGAAGTAGCATATTCTAAAAGAAAAGATGCAATATGTGTAGGCTTCCTGTATTATTGACAATATATGAAACCTATTTTATTTAATATTCAAATACATTCTGCCTAATTAAGTTCTTAATTTACTTTTAAAGATGTGAACTTTTCTGTGCATTCACAAAGCATCAGCAAAACTATTATATATGACGCTGAAGTAGATTCTTGTTCATTTGCAGGGAATCACATTCACATATAACTTTGTGCCAATTAAAAACTGTTAATGACAAAACATTACAATTGATTAGTCTCTGTATGTTTACAGCTCACTTTAATTGCTGAAAAATGCCATTTGTCAGCTTCATGTTCTATTGACAAGGCCATTGATTTATCTGAATTTGGCTTTGTCTTGTCTCTCGTACATAAAACTCACATATGCAGTTCAAATGGGAAATGACTGTATTGATTTCCTTAACTTGAGCCCAAATGCTAAAGATTTTTGGATAAGCTTTCTCATTACTTAAGCCAAAATCAATAAGAAAGACCATCTTTTAATGAAAGAGCAGTTTGAGCAACGTACTTCAGAAATAGGGTCCTGTTCATTCTTTGCTTTACAAATCGATCTCCTAGGTTCCTTAAGTGAGGTCCAATTGGTTGACATTGTGGTTTGTCTTTGTGTGTAAACTTGGAGCTTTGGAAAGGAGAAGATGAGTTACAGAGACAGTGGAAAGAAACGTTCTCCCCAAGAAAGACAACTGCCCACTAGCCCGTGTAAAATCCAGTGTTGAAATAAAAATATAACAACAGATTATTATATCTTTTTAAATTCACACTGATATATTTTACGATTTCACAGTATGTTTTATTTCTTCACTGGCTCATTTTATAATAACTCAGACATATTTTAGAGTTATAGCTCTTATGTGAATTCATACTGTTTATCTCAATATTCACTTTCAATGTAAAACATCTTTCTGCTTATTACTACAGTTTATATATATTGCAAAATAATTTAGGAATGGATAATGCCATTTGAAAAATGACATTTGTCTAAACATTTGTGTTCTTTTTTTCAAAATTTTTAGTGTCAAATGTTTCATCTTTGGGAAAGAATAACACAAGAACTGAGCAACAGCAAAAAAAAAATGCCTATCTTGAGGAATAGCAGAATGAACTAAACATATAAAACAAATTTTATAGGCAGGCCAGATGTCAGGTGCTGTACTATGATATCATTAACTCCCATGAACTACATAAATTAAGCTGATTATGCCTTCACTTAATTAACTGAGAATGACCTATTGATGCACAGCTGAGTGAGCTAGAGACCACTTGCAGCACTGTACTTAATTTATTGGTTTTCTCTCTCCTGTATTGTTGGGAGGAAAAAAAATTTTAACCTTTGTCTTTTTGGTATGCTTTTATGTCAATATATTTATATCAATATTTATATATTTATGTCAATATATTTATATTTAAAAGTACATTCTGAGTAATTTATTATTTTTTGAAATAAGTAATTAAGAAAAGGTGTAATAATCCAAATAAATTATAACCACTATTTTTTTTAAAGTTAAAAACAATGAAAATATGGGCAAATTATGTTTAATAGTACTTTCCTTCTCGATTCCCATACACTAGCTTAATCTATGCAAGGACAAATAAATCAAATCAAGTACAATTAATTTTAGTAATCTGCATCAGAGTTTCTGTAGTTTCATACAATCAGTTCAAATTTATTTTGCAAGTTGAGGTGTCTGCATATTTTTTATTAATATGTTTTTTATTGTGAAAATACTGTACAGAGGGGTTACAATTACATGAGAAGGTAATGAGTACATTTCTTTGTGTGTGTGTGTGTGTGTGTGTCCAGTCATGGGGCCTGAACTCTGGGCCTGGGAACTGTCCCTCAGCTCTTCAGCTCAAGGCTGACGCTCTACCACTTGAGCCACAGCACCACTTCCGGCTTTTTTCTTTTTGCTTATGTGGTGTTGAGGAATCGAACCCAGGGTCTCATGCATGCAAGGCAAGCGCTCTACCACAGAGCCACCTTCCCAGTCCCAATGAGTACATTTCTTATCAAGCATTATTTCCTCCTCCTTTGTTTTTGTTTCTCCTTACCATCCCTGACCTCCCATTCCCCCTCCCCAAAGTTCCTTTTTCGACATAGCATCTTGTATATTTCATTGTTGTAATAGGTCCACCTGTCTCTCTATTTAAACAATTGGTTTTTCCCCTTGCCCTCCCAAAATTATACCAACATCAAATATAGTGAAAACAGGGGTTATACTGAGAGGGAGGGACATACAAAGAAACAAAAAAAATCACCATATAGATATGTTAGAAACAATAGCAAGAAAGAAAAAAGACGTGAGTCCTTATCTTGGGGTTCATTTCGCTTAACATCAACTTATCTGACCGTTTCTGCTTGTCTCAGACATATATTAGTTATTGAAAATAAGGGAAACCATGGGACCTATGTTTCTTTGGGCCAGGATCACTTCACTTAATATAATTTTTTCCAATTCTTTCCATTTCCTAACAAATGGGGCAATGCCATTCTTTTTGATGCAGGCATAGAATTCCATTGTGTATATATACCACATTTTCTTGATCCATTCATCTACTGAGGAACATCTAGGTTGGTTCCATATCTTAGTTATGGTAAATAATGCTGTGATAAACATAGTTGTGCTGGTAGCTTTAATATGGTTTTGTTTGTGATCATTTGGGTAAATGCCCAAAGGAGGGATTGCTGGGTAACAGGGGCACTCTATGTGGAGTCTTTTGAGGAACCTCCATATTACTTTCCAAAGTGGTTGGACAAGTTTATACTCTCACCAACAATGCAGTAGGGTTTCCTTCTGGCCATGTCCCCTCCAGCATCTGTTGGTAATACAGGTCTTGGTTTTAGTCATTCTAACTGGAGTGAGGTGGTATCTCAGTGTTGTGTTGAGTTGCCTTTCTTTTATGGCTAGGGAAGTTGAGCATTTCTTCATGTGTCTATTGGTCATCCTTCTTTCCTCTTCAGAGAAGTTTCTCTGTAAGTTTTTAGCCCACTTATTTATCGGGCAGTTGTTTCTTTGAGGATTTGTTGTTGGCGATTTTAATTTTTTGAGTTCCAGGTATATTTTAGATATGAGACCCTTGTCCGTTGTATAGCTAGTGAACATCTTCTCCCAGTCCGTGGGCTTTCTATTGATCTTACTGGCTATGTCCTTTGCCATGCAGAAGCTCTGCAGCTTCACGCAACCCCATTTGTCCAACTTTTCTTTGATTTGTTGTATTTCTGGGTGACTATTAAGAAATTTTCAGCTTGTGTCAAGGAGCCCTATGCTTTCTCCTATTTCTTCCTGTAATGTTTTCAGGGTGTCTGCTTTTATTTTGAGGTCTTTGATACATTTGGAGTTGATTCTGGTGCAGGGTGATATATAAGGATCTAGTTTTAGTTTTCTACAAATGATTAACCAATTTTGCCAGCACCATTTACTGAAGAGGCTGTCTTTCTTTCATTTTATTTTTGTAGCTCCTTTATTGAAGATTAAATGGCTATCAGTCTGTGGGTTCATTTCTGGGTCTTCAGTTCTATTCCATTGGTCCTCAGGTATGGTTTTGTGCCAGTACCAAGATGTTTTGATTACTATGGCTTTGTAGTAGAGTTTGAAATTTGGTATTGATATTCCTCCAGCAGTGTTCTTTCTGTTGAGGATCGTTTTTGCTATTCGGGGTCTTTTATTGTTGCATATGATTTTTTGTATTACCTCTTCTATTTCCTTGAAGAATTGGTTGGAATTTTGATAGGTATTTCATTGAATTTGTAGATAACCTTGGGACGTATTGCCATTTTCACGATGTTGATCCTTCCAATCCAGGTGCATGGGAGGTTTTTCCACTTTCTAAGTTCTGTTTTGATTTCATTTTTCAGTTTTTTAAAGTTTTCATCATAGAGGTCCTTCACTTATTTGGTTAGGTGAATTTCTAGGTATTTTTTTTTGTGGGGCTATTACAAAAGGAATTGCTTTCCTGATTTCATCTGCACTCAAAAATATGGAACGCTTCATGAATTTGGGTGTCATCCTTCCACAGGGGTCATGCTACTCTTCTCTGTATCGTTCCAATTTTAGTGTATGTGTTGCCAAAGCAGACACTATTATTTTGTTATTCTTACAAACTGCTTATGTGGGTGTGAGTAGCTTTTATCATTATTCTATCTAACATAGATTGTATATGATAGAAAACACAGATTAATTCTTTTTAGAACACATGTGAGACATATGCTTTTATATAATTATTTATAATGATTCATAAAAGATATTATATCCTCAAAAAGAGTATTATTTTAATTAAACTTTGGAAATTATTGGTTAAAAAATTGTTGGTAAGTTTTATTTTTGTGAAGAAAGTTCTTATGTTAACATTTACATTTTAAAATATTCACCTAAAAACATATTTACAAGTGTGTTCTTTTTTTTTTTATTTATTTGCGTTTATTTTATGCTAAATTTATTCCCGGACCATAAGTTTTTGTTTCTTCAGTTTCTTCTGGGATATCTTGTTCTTCTGTGCAACCTCCTCCTCTGGTTTAGGAAAAATTTGCTCTTTCTCAGTAAGGATCATCTCAATGTGGCAGGGGGAGCTCATGTAAGGGTTAATCCTACCATGGGCTCTGTAAGTTTGGAGGCGCATCTTAGGTGCTTTGTTCACCTGGATGTGTTCAATGACCAGGGAGTCTACATCTAAACCCTTCAGTTCTGCATAACTCTCTGCATTCTTAAGCACGTGCAGCAGAAATTCAGCACTCTTTTTGGGCCACCGACCCTGTGTCTGGCCCCACTGTTTGGCCTGGGCACACCTGCCAACTCCACCATTGTAACGCCTGAATGGCACACATTGCTTCTTTCAAGTGGATACTTGGTCGCTTTTCGGATATGCATACCCTTGATGGCCTGGGCTGTTTCTCTGGTGTTCTTAAAGTGTACACGAAGATTGGAACCTCTTGACTTGCATGAGTTTGTGGGGTTTTCTGGGTCTAGAGAGTAGCGAACCATTTTCACAGGTCACCGCAGGGCAGTGCGCAAAGGGGGTCGGTTCACAACCCCCCCCCCCCCTCCAGGCGCTCTACTCCAGCCTCCGCCGGCCAACCCAATTCCCGTCTATCATGCTCTGGTGCAGCCCGGTGGGCCAGCCGGACCTGGTGGGCCAGCCGGACCTGGTGCGCCACGTAATGCGTTCCACCATAGAAAACAGGAATCGTAGTCATGGGGATTCAGTTGCTAGACACCTCAATGTTGGCGACCCCGAGGCCAGGATGGCGAGGTCGACAACCGAGAAACACTCACCTCTTACAAGTGTGTTCTTAAAGAAGAAAATTATGATATTATTGCTACTTTCAAGTTCTTACTTGAATATGTAAGAATATTTTTGGACAAATTATCCTTCAATTTTGACCTTTTATGTCTACATATAAAAATGACTGTTATGTGATGACTATACAACCCTGTACTTTATAGCTTTTATAATCCACTAATACAAAGATGACCACTGACCAGGTGCCCACATCTTATACCTGTAATCTTACTCAGGAGGCTGAAGAAGGAAGGTCTTTGAGATTCTTATCACCGGTTAACCACCTAAAAGCTAGTTGTGGAGGTATGGTTTAAGTAATAGAGCACTAGCCTTGAGCAAGATACCTCAGGGACAGTGCCCATGTCCTAAATTCAAGCCCTGGGATGGAAAAAAAAGTACAAAAAGACAGCCATTGACCATTCTTTTTCTTCGGATTAGCACTTCATCAGATATAGGCAGTCTGCTTTTAGGTGTTATAATTATATACACTTATATATTGTTGATAGTTCATTCTAATAGAAAACTAACCAAACTATATGATGTAAAACTTCTCAACAAAATTTTGGCCAATCGACTTCAACAATTCATCCAAAAAATTATACACCACGATCAAACAGGATTCATTTCAGGGATAAAAAGCTGGTTCAATATACACAAATCAATTAATATAATTCATCCCATCAACAGGAGCAAGGATAAGAACCACATGGTTATCTCAATAGATGCAGAAAAAGCATTTGACAAGATCCAACACCCCTTTATGATGAAGGCTCTGGAAAAACTAGGAATCCATGAAACATTCCTCAATACAATAAAGGCTGTATATGACAAACCTACAGCTAGCATTATACTTAATGGTGAAAAACTAAAGCCATTTCCTCTTAACTCAGGAATGAGACAAGGATGTCCACTCTCTCCACTTCTCTTCAATCTAGTATTAGAATACTTAGCTACAGGAATAAGACAAGATGCAAACATAAAGGGGATCCAAATAGGGAAAGAAGAAGTAAAACTCTTCCTCTGCAGATGACATGATCTTGTATTTAAAGAATCCCATAGACTCCACTCCCAAATTACTCAAGCTGATTGCAACAATGAGATGTACAAGTCCTTATGTCGAAAACAAACTTCACCTCAGATAAGGTGATGTTAGGGAAATGAACCCTAAGATATGTATTTAAATGTTTGTTTTTCTTTCATGCGATTGTTTCTAATTCATTTATAAGATTATTTCTTTGTTGCTTTGTATGTCCCTCCCCCACAGTATAACCCCTGCTTTCACTGTATTTGATGTCGGTATAATTTGTGGAGGGGAAGGGGAAAAACAAATCGTTTAAATAGGGATACAGGTGGACCCATTGCAACAATGAGATGTACAAGTCGTTATGTCGAAAACGAACTTTACAACTTTTGTGGGGGGGGGGGGGCGAGAGGAGGATGGGAAGGGATGGGAAGGGAAAACAAAGTAGGAGGCTACAATGCTCAATAAGAAATGTACTCATTATCTTGCCCATGTAATTGTAACCCCTCTGTACAGTATTTTCACAAGAAAAAAAAGAAAACTAACCAAACTATAAAGGTAGTATGTTAGCTTATTTGGTACATTGCTTATCATTCTCTTTCCAGGGTTTCATGTAAAAACATAGTTAAGGGTGTCACTTTGACTCAGGGCTCGCTTGAGACATCTGCCACCTCTCCTATCTATTTGATATAAATATTATTTTTGTGGAAGTTAAGAAGAGATACATATTTCCATCAATCTTATGTTTTAATTATAGATAATTTTTCCTACAAGGTTCACACTGTAGTGTGTTGATAATTCATGCTAAAACTTTAAACAGAATTTAACTACTAGTAGAAAAGTTGGTGGACATGTGATAATTTAACATTCTAATGAGATGTGATTATAAATAATAATTTATAAATAAAGTGATAAATAAATAAATAAATAAAATGGGTAGTTGTAGTAATATGTGTCTCTGCATACAATTTTGTAGTCATATTCAAAGAAGAGTGTTGTTTTCATACATTTTATTTTTTCAAACATTCTCATTGACAATTTGACCAGACCACTTAAACTCCCAGCCACACACTCCAGAATTTTTTATGGTGTTACAGAACTTGTGAATTTGGCACTACACAAAAGACGGGGGAATGTTCCTTGGGAATATAAGACAAATACTGTATCATGAGGTATGTATTTGTAAATTAGTAAAAGACAAAATGCTTTGGGAGAACTGTATTATAAGTTCCTTTTTAGTTTTGTTATGTAAGAAGTTTTTATCAAACACCAAAGAGGTTGTACATGGGCCTGTAGGAGTGTGTGTGTGTGTGTGTGAGTGTGTATTTTATACAACGTAAATTGAATAAAAGCCAAAGAATAGATGAGAGACAGGAGTGAATGCTGAGAGGAACTAGAAGGCAATAAAGGAAAGAATCATTTGATTCTCTAACATTTAGTCAGTCAGATGGAGAACCAGAAAAGTAACTAAACAGACAATGAGAACAGAGGAAATGTAGGAGAGTAGGAGGTCTCAGAATCTAAGGAAAGAAAATGTTTCTAGGAGAAAACACTGATCACTGTTCACAGTTGTAAGGTAAAGATAAAAAATTAGCCATTCAATTTAGTTATATAAAAGGCTTTTGAAATCTCAGCAAACACACACACACACAAAACTTTTAGTGCATTAATGGATATTTGTTTATCCTAATGGTAATGATTACCATAAGAAAAAATGGTATTAGATAAATAAATCGTATAAACTTAAGATCTTTGATTTTTTTTCCAAAATATATCCAAAATGTCTAACAAATACATTAATGTTTGTTTGGACTTGATTGAGACTGCAGCCTAGGCTTTTCGTAATTTTGCTTACTTTAAAAGATAATATTTTTGTTGCCTGTTTTCCTACAATAATTATTTAGAATATATTAAAGTGATTTTTGTAGTAGTTACTTTTAAACAGAGAGGCATCTTGTTACTATAATGACCTACAATGGCAGCTATAATTTAATGTTAAGATTAACTCAAAAGAGTTTATAATGTCTCCCATATGACATTTTACTGACTATTTATCGTCTATGTAACCTGAAGGATTTTTTTCCAACTTTTTGTAAAACTTGTGTTTTCTCCACTTTTAAAAATGAGTTCTTATGCAGAGTTATGTTTTTATACAAGATGTTCCATAGATGAGTCAGAGTGAATATTTCTGAGTGTGAAAATTTTTCATGTTATCTATCAAATTGAAAAAAAAGGTATTTCCCCATAATTTAAAGCTATACATTTAGCCATTTGGGATTCAATATATTAAAGTTGCAGTGTATAAAGGGACTTTAAGAGTCATTTAATAAAATCTTAATTTTACAAACCAACAAAATGAGGTTAGACATAAAAGAGGTCTCTTGCAGCTATAGTGAGGCATAAATGTATTGATCAATATAATGTGATATTAGGTGTATGCTGGCAGAGCATATAATTTTTAAAGAAGTACAGCATATAATACATTGTTTTAAATGTCATAGTCTTTAAGGAAAAGGCAAAGAAATGTTCATTTGAGAAAATGTTTTGTATAATTATTGAAATTTGGGCAAACATGTACTTTTATGGCTTTTCATCTTACAAAATTCTTCTCAAAGCTCACAGAAACAGTGTTGAGATTTTTCTTTTATTAAAATGTGAAAGCATATTAATTGTACAAACTTTGGCATGATTTTCATCATGACATTCTCTACATGCATATAGTATACTTTGATGGTATTCATTACCATTATCCCTCTTTCTTCTCCCCATCATTTCTTCTTT